ATCAGAACTAAAGTCATTTCATGCACATTAATGATCAAACAATTCAACAAAAGCTGCAATTTATAATATTTTTGTTTATAAATTCCATTTGTAGTAAAAAATAAAATATATTAAATAAAAATCACATAAAATGATTAATTCAATTATTTGAAACAGGTTTAAAATTAATTTATACTTGTGATGTTTGCCTTCTTGTATATTGCATAATTGCGAATATTTCAAAATTCCTGTATGATACAGGTCATTTCTGTATATCGTGCAACCCTATATACTGTACAGTAAAGTACAAATGGTTTATTTAAATAAATAATGTATTATATTGTTTTAGTGCCACCGGAAGAGCCGCTAATTGTGGATATGGACAACAATGAGCTTAAAGGACTAATAGGTCCCTACAATGAAGGCGAGGAATTGAAACTGATTTGTACCACAAATGGAGGTATAAGAAATATATTAATCATTCATGTGATTTTTATTTAATATATTTTATTTTTTACTACAAATGGAATTTATAAACAAAAATATTATAAATTGCAGCTTTTGTTGAATTGTTTGATCATTAATGTGCATGAAATGACTTTAGTTCTGATTGTTTTCCTAGGGCAAATTGAGGACAAACATTAGAATTTGGAATTATGAATAGTGTACTGTATTAACTATTGAATGGATTGTGGTTCATAGTTAGGCTTGCAAACTCGTCAAGGTTTGCATTGATTGTCAAGGAATGAAAGGTTTTGTCAAGGTGTAAGGCGAGTGTCTTTCCTTGATATTGTAATGTCATGGAATGTAAAAATCAAAACTTGTGCACTTTTTTGAAACTGTATGCAACATTTTATGTAACTTTACTATGCATTGCTTTGGCATAAAACAAAATCCGAGAATGTATAAAATAAATAAATTTTAAAAATAAAGCTATTTTTAGTAGATAAATATTAAATAATGTAAATTTATGTAAATTTCATCAAAAATTAGTAAAAACTCCCACCAACAGAATCTGCAATAAAAATGTTGATCAAGAAAATGTCAAGGCAAATTCTTGAAATTCTTGAAACTCAAGTAATGTGTAAGATTGAGTTGGCAAGCCTATTCATAGTTAATATCATATTAATAATATGACTAATGTGTACTATCGTTTATATACAGTATACACAACATACAACATTAGTTTATATCATGAGATAAAAAGGACGAATTGCTTTAGTTTATCTTTAATGGAATAGTGTTGTAGTGAAAAAATACAAATAACAAATCTACACTAAATCTATGCACTATAATAATGTTATACAGTATAGTGACTATATTCTACTCAATAGCTGAGTATTGAGTATCCCATGGGATAAGGTATCAAATTGTGGTCAATTTACTTGCGATTGCAAACTGCAAGCCGAATGTGAGTGCGAGAGTGGTGTGAGTGGTGTGACCAGAGTTTGCAATCAACTTCTCTTAACATTCAATAGTCAGTACTTACCGATCACTTTGAGAGATATGACTGTATTAACAGTTCTGGCTTTCTTGAAGTCGACGCGACACCTATAGTCTCCCGCATCCATCACTCGGATCGGATCCATCTGCAGGAATGCCGGCCTATTATGCAGATTGAAATACGCCCGACCTATCCATACATGCAATTATTGTAAACTTCATTAAGTTTTGTCATTTCATTATTTTCAACAATTTATCAAAACGTTTACCGTCCAGTACTGTTGAGGTGAGAGTTCGTGCCTGTTCTATGTTACCTGAAATAATTATTATGATTTAATTAAAACACAAATATTTAAGTTGTATTTGACATAAAATATCTATCAGACATTAATGGCTATACTGTTTTTGTTTAAAATTATTTTGTAATAAAAAACTGAAAATACATTACATTCAATAAAGATTACACAACCTTTAAATTGTTTAAAATTATTAAGACAAAAATATCATTTATTTGGATCACTCTTTTATATTGTAATATAACTAAGGCAAACACAAAATGGGGAAAAGTAAGGAAATTGTATATCTTAAGGTGTAATGTGGAATTTATCAATAGGTTTAATAGCTTATGAGTTTATCATTTTTGGTGAAAATACATAAATAACAAATACTGTAATATATATTTAATATATGAGTTCGCCTTAAATACAGTACAAACTCCATATAAAGTAGAACACAGATTCGTTAATATGTTTTTCATACTTATAAAACATTAATAATTACTTGTTTATTTGTTTAATTAATTGTTGAATATCTTGAAGTTAATATTAATATTTGAAATTAAAGTATAGATAATATTTGTAATAATAAAATCAATTACAGGTCAGTTACAGTCAAAATGCGATTTGATAGTTAAATATGAACATGAATTTTGTTTGTTCTTAAATCTCATATAACTTTATGACATATTTATGTTTATTTCTTTCCAAATAATATTAAAGTTAATCCTTTAATACCATTTTGCCTGACGTTTGTTAACAACTGAATACAAGTATAGGATAAACAATGAAAAAGTGAATGAGATTTTATGTGTTTGGACAACATTATATGTCGTAATCTACTGTAAAAGTTAATCTATGAATTATATTCTGTCTAACAATTTTGTTGATAAATATTAATATTAACTTTAGTATTATTTTTAAATGAATTATTTAATGTATGCTAAAGTCAGATAGTGTTGAAAATAGAAATAAATATTTTAGTGAATTTTACTCAACATTTCTTTTATTTAGATTATGAATGTACTACGAGAGCTATGTGACCATTTTTCCTATATAAACCTAGAGTGCAACCGGCAATTATTGTTATAAAATCAAAGTACAATCTGTAAAAAATGTTGTAATATATTTCATTTGGTCAGACGGCCTCTTGTTGGTCAGCAGTGACCACATTTTTCGGGGAAAATTTGAATATAAAATCTTTTATTGTATGGAAAAGTGTATCATGTTTTATGTCAAGTGAGCTGTAGTTGTAGTTAGTTTGATAATTAAGTTTTGACAAACCTCTTCTAGCATCAAGTGTATAAATTGGTGCCAACTGTAAAGTAAAATATATTTGATTTAAATTCATACAATATTAAAATTGTTAATTTAGAAAATTTAAATAAGTATACTGGATAAGAAAAACAATTGGTTTGCTATAGAGTATGTCAAATCTAAACACATAAGGATTTAATTACTATAGACAGTAAAACGATGAGTTTTTAATGCATTTGCATATTTAAAAGGTTTGTGCGAATTTATTAAATTATATGCTCAATGCATTTAACAGTAGTAATTTAATTTAATTCAAATATTAATTTGTGTTCTAAAGCACTAAATCGAATATTAGTAATATTATATTACTTTTATCTAAAGTCATGTTTGTCTGTGACTCACATTGTAATGCATCCAAAACGTATCCTTTACTGTCTATATTTATGACCACATACTTTACAACAGCAATATATGGTTTGTCAATATTTAGTTATGGAAATCATGATAATATAGAGATAATGAGCACTGAAAGACTGTACCTGCTCATCTTTGTACCATAGTATGAGGACTACCTGATCGTCAAGCGTTGGCGGTGTTATATCACATGGAAGGGCCACCTTTGCATACACACAGACAATACAACATTCATATTAACAAGTGTTTCACAAAATGCACGTATAATTCCTAATCAATTATTTGTAATAAGTCACAAATGCAAACAAGTTAAGTCTACGCGCATACCGATATCATTTACAAACAATTTACTGTATAAAAACTGTAAAGAAGCTTAGTTACTCGCAATGTTATCTTAGATAAATTCCCAAGAATTTAAATTTAAAATTTCGAAATTTTACTCTTTATTTACGAAAAAAAAATTTAATTTATTCGCAGTTTTTTTTATAATATTAAAAATTTAAAAATATACTTTTTTTTCTATGTCTATATACGGTCACTTTGGCATAAATATTGTTAAATTTAATTTTTACATTTCAAATGGCAAAGAAATTAAAATATTGCAATTTTGCACCTTTACTGCATTATACTTATACAGTATACCGTTTATTAATTCAAAAAAGCCTGAAACAAGTATTAAATTATATTTTATGATAAACATTTTGGTATATATTTTTTAAAAATTGATCAAGTAAATTTTGAGTTATCACTACCTATTACGTTCCATAGAGATTATATGCAAAAGTTCGTGAGGTTTTGGTGTTCCCAAACTCAAATTATATTAAATGAATTGTATAATTTAAAATAGCTAATTTAATATGATTTATACATTGTTTATAATAGTATTTATCAGTTGTCGTGCTTATACAGATGTAATATTAGCTCTATTTGTTCATGATAGGGGGTATATTATTGGACACAGTGTAGAATTATCATCATTTATAATAATAAAGAAGAGTCAAAATTATAATACAAATTTAGTTAATCACTGATTCTTCCAAGAAATAATCTAAATAATTTGCCATTGGATGTCAATATTTAAAAGATCTATCGCAATTAATAAAAATATTTATTCAAAATCAGCGCACTTTTGGCGCGCGTAAGTACATGAGTAATATGTGAACTTAAAATAAAATGACTGAATATAGCAGTGCAACAGAATATATAAATAAGAAACAGACATACCTTTCCGCGAACCACTGCTGTATATAAAATTGATGCTAAAAAAGAAAAATTGCAATTATATTTTGATATAATGTCAGCTTAAATTTGTCATAACAAATACACGATAATATTTAGTAAATTGATTAAATTATTTTCCAATTTTAAATTAAAATAAAACTAATAGATTTATTAATATTATTTTAGCAATTTCATTTTTGTGAATTTGTTTATTTTTCAATATAAAGTAAAATATACAATAATATACTATAGACCAGGGTCTCTCTGAGTGTGCATAATTGGGCATTCGCGGGCATTGCTATAATGTATTGTCTATGGGAGCTAGTGTTGCCAGTCTAGCTTTTTAAGCCTACTTGGCATTTCCTGCTATAGACTAATCATTAATATAAAGCAAAGGATTAAAAGGGACACGCTAAAAAGCGTAACATACTATTGGGGGTAGGAGGGTAATAAAATTATAGAGTGGGATAGAATAAGAAAGGGAATGTGTAACACATTTTGTGGACTGGGGCTGATGGCTAGGGTTGCCAACTGGTCAAGGTTTGCCTTGATTTGCAAGGTGAGAGGGTTCTGGTCAAGGTGAAAGGCGAGGGTCTCACCTTGACATAGACAGGTCAAGGTGAGAGCAAATGTAATTACCGCATGTCTATTTTAGGTAAAGTTATTTATTGTAATAAACACACTTTTTAAAACCCAGAATAATATTTATTGCCTATTTGTATAATAGCAAAACAAATCCTTTAGTAAAAACCCCTTTATAAGAAAGAGTTTTGCTTTCAAAAAGCTCGTATCTTATATGGAAAATACACTGTATTATAATAAAACTAAATTAAATATAAATTTTCATTTTGCTCATATTAGGAGACACGAAAAATAATGCGAGAATTTTTGTTAAACTATTTTAAAATAATTTTTTAAGTATTAATTTTAATAATTTATACAAAAATAGATTGGTTAACTTAAAATACAATACTTTGTCTATAATTTATAGTTGAAACCAATTTTTTATCAATTGCCATTCATGGCCACCAATGCTTCAAACATAATACACATTACAAATTATACTGTGTGAAATTTTTATATCATGGTTTATTTGCCACGGCATCAGCCCGAAAAATACAAACAATATATGATTATAATTGTTGTATTGGATATTAACGATTAGGGTAGTTAACTTTGTCCCGCGACCATGACCTTAGCTCTGGTGTCCAACTTAAGGTGGCCACCCGTCGGTAGTGATCAAATTTTTTTGAGACACAAATCCAAAGCAATTGGTGTGAAGATATATATTGACAGAAGAGATGTAGTGAATAGAACAGTTGGGATCACTTAAATGCTATTGGGAAGAGGTAGAGATCATGTAAATGGATTTTAGTACAATTTTTGTCTATAAAAATATGGCAACTTTAAATATAAAACTTAACAGAAAAATAATGACAACAGATATGAAGTC